TTTAAGAGATTTTCTATAAGAAATAGATTTATTCTATGTTGTACATCAGTAAATTAGCTAGTTTTTACTATATGACTTTAACCCTTTTATTCTGGAGAACAAATACAGTTTCTTTACAATAAATTAAATAAGAAATTATTTAACCTTTTAGCATCCTTTAGTGTGCAGTGTAGAAAGATGGTGTCAAAGATTGACATATTTTTTGTTTAACACATTGTTTTTAGTACGCTCTCATTTTGCCTAGGAGTTTTATTTTGATGCTTGTTTTTGTCCATGTATTTTAAGCAATTATTTTCAGGTGACTTCTTTGTGCAACCAACACCATTGGCTGCAGTAACTTTGAGAAGAGTTTTTCTTCATTAGAGGCTTCTGCTGGATTGTTGGGAGAACAAAATGCTGTCCCTAGTGGCTCCTAAAACTTATAGATGCATGCGATGAGATTGCTAATATTATTTTTAATGAAAAAATGTTGGAGTAGTACTTTTAATAGCTTTACGCAAGCATGAACAACTTGAATTATAGAGCTAAATCTTAAGCTCCTTGAGCTGTTCCTCAGCCTTCAAAATACAGTTCATGTATGCAGGACTTCAAAACTAAGAAACCCCTTTCACATGCTCATCCAGCCAAGCCATGGTGAAGCAGTAAATACAGAAACCCCATTTGTATGGGGTCTCCATACGTGACAGTGCAGTGAATAACGGGATCATATTTCAAAAGACAAGTCGACCTGCTTAAGTCTTTGCAGTCATCTGAAAGCAGAAGTGTTGTATGCTTTTTCAAAGCATTTATTTTACCTCGAGGTAGATCATGGGAAGCATTAGGCAGCCTGGCAGCCTGCTTGTTGGGAGTGGAATGCAGAAGAGAAGAGGGGACCATCCTCTTCTCTTCTGCATTCGCCACCTCGCTGGTGGCCCTGGGCAGGAGTCATTCAGTATTAATGCTGTCAAAAATCCTTAGAAATAACTTGGTTTATAAGCGTGAAACTTAGATCAAGAAGCACAATATCAATGAGGATGGTTAGCAGCTCTGTCTTTAGTACCTTCAAGTGTTGCCAGTACTTAGAAATGCCAATTAATCATCATGCAGACCGGAGATGGGATTTCTTGTCAGTTATGAGTGATAGTTTTGTCCGTGGGATTTTCCCACATCTTTCCCATAGCTGTGAAATGGCAGGTCACTAGTGTATAGAAAAGACCCAAAGTATATATATGATTTCCATAAACCTGGACAGGAAGGCAGCCTGTAGAAAAAAGGCATACTGTGAAGCAGAGTGGTAGCTTCGAAGTAAATGACATTTTTAATTGGTTGTAAAAAACAGCAATAATGCATAATTCCTTCTCACTGTCACATGACGCAAGTCAGATTTGACCATAAGTGCCTGGCTTTTTCAGCCAGTTGCACAAAGAAATTCCAGGGAAGGAAGAGTGGGTTATGGTTTAACGCTTTCCAAACCTGTTTTGAAAAATACAGGTGAGCATCTATATATCAAACTGATGATACAGACGAAGTATCTGAAACCAGTATATCAAAGAGTCTTCACTTTCCTATAAAAGTAATTTGGCAGCATGCTGTTATTACCATGTAAATCTCTTCCTCCTTACTAACAATAACGACGTATCTTTGGCCATCACTTTTCCCTCCTGAGGTTGTTGCTGTTATCTGTAATTTCCATAAAGTTTCCACGTTAACAATGCTTACTTCTCTGTACACTTACATTACTAGTCAGTGCACACTTGCAGAAAACAAAATATCTCACGTAAATGCTTTGTGCATGCCCGTTCCATGTTTTTGTGAATTAATACAGCTAAGACATGTTTTAGCAGAGGCTGAAGTATCACATTTAGATTTGCTAATCTACTCTACCTTTGCCAATTTTTTTCTTTATGTTATGCAGAATGCTCATATTTGGCAAGATATTTCACCGCTTGGGTTTTTGCTGTAAGAATTATCAAACTTGTGTTATAGATTGTATTTATTATTGGAAACAGAATATTTCTAGCATGATTTATTGAGTTATCGTGTTAAATGGAAAATGCATACGTAGGTCATCTCTGCTCAAGTATTTAATAGAGTATGGTAGAAAAAAGAGGTTATTCAGAAAATTGTGGGTGGTGTGGTGTTTGGGTTTTGGGTTTTTTTTTTTTTTTTGGTTGGTGGTGGTTTCCCCCCCACTTCATTCTTCTATGTCATCAGTCAGGGAAGTATATCAAATGCTAATGCCTACGTTTCCATCTATGCCTGTCTGGAATATTCAATCATTTTCTGTTATGCCACCTTTATAAGGGAAGTACACACGCCTACTTGTTTGGTTTTGACAGATGTCTTCTATTTTGCTTGTCATATGTCAAAATTGGTTATGATAGAATTGATTTTCCTCTGTTAAGAATTTGATTTTTTTTCCCATTATGTTTTCATCTTTCTGGAAGCTGCTTTGATTATAAAGACGGGACATGGACCTGTGTGGAGCCAGCTCCAGGAAACTAGTGATAGACCATCTGTATCCTAGCTGCATGTGCATTAAGAGCATGCGTCTTCCATCATGAGATGTTTTATAGATTGGGAGCTGGGACTGCCTATGTGTTGGCCGTCACAGCTGATCTGGCACGTGGTATGTTAACATATTGGGTATGTTAATACATTGCAGATTTAGAAGCGGTGATAAATCTGTGCTTCTACTTCCCTGCCAGAGTCAGTGGTTCCTTTTTGTGAGTTCTGTTGTTTGACTGTGCTCTGAGCTGGACTTGGGTTAAAATGAATGGAGTTTGGGGGAGAAGAGGTTGATTTATCCAGATGAGTTGGTTGAGAGGGTAGTTGAACAAATGATTGTACAGACACTGCTCAAGGGAGGGTGCCTACTTGCTAGGGACAAGAAGGAGCTTGGGGTGAAAATGATTAATCCGCTGCCAAGGAAATAATTGCATGGACTTGAGCCCTTTCCAGGGCTCCTGTCACTCCTGAGGTGAAAGACTTCTTCCTCTGTAAAGAATCGTGCAGAAAGTGCTAGTCCTAAGCATCAGTGCTGTTTTTATGTTAATGTCTCAGGAAATATTAATGTTGGTAAAGATTGTGGTGGTGGTGCTTACGAAAACATACTTGAGGTTTCAACGCATACTAGTTTACATATCCTGCTTGGTTTGGAAAAGCATTTAGTAGTTAAGTTAAAATAATTAAATTGGATATTATGAGCACAGGATAGATTTCAAGCATTCTTTTTTCCCCTCAAGGTTACAAAATATTATTCTTGCATTAGCACCTTGGAGTCTGTTGAGCAGAGATTTTGGGTGAGTTAAAACCAAAAGTTCAGCTAAGGTAGAGTAAGAAGACTTGGCATCTTGGCATAGACAGTGCGCAATGAGCTTATGACTGCGGGCTTGGCATCCACATTCTTTTCACTATGAAAATTTTAGAAAATTTCATTGAAAGTGCAACATCACATGATTCTGTAATTATCTGTCTAATATAAAGTATTTCAAAACGATGTTTTAAAAATCAGTGGCACTGTGTCCAGGATGAGTATGGAGTATTACAAGGAACTGCTTATCCAGTTTTACTGTGTCATCTGAATACTAACTCTGGCATAAAACACCTCAAAAAAGGCAACTGAGTTTTTAACACTTAGTAGGAGAAGGCTTCATTCGGAGAAAGATGTTATCTGCCCCTCCGCTTGGGAATATGTGGCTTCAGGGAAATACTTAACACCTTGCAAAACCAGCTATGCCCTTAATGCAGAAAGGCCAGTCATCGTTTCCATTCCAGCTTCAAAAACCATCTCGGGGTGAGGGAGTTACCTGGTCTCCCTGCATCCCAGTGGGCAGCGAATGGTCGGTAGGTATGCTGAGTGGCCAAGCCTTGTATTGCCCAAATCTTGCTATGCTAGACTGTAAAAAGCTACACAGGTTATGCTATGAAGAGATTATGTGCATCTCTTGAAAACCCATCTACACTTGGCTTTTCAAACCTTTTCCGGTTTAATTGTTTCAAACATGCTGTTGGGTACTGCTGTAACTTTGAACTGGTTGAATCTGAAATAAATACTGAATGATATGCATACAGAATCTTCCTTTCTTGTCTCTATAAGTATTTGTTTAGTCTTTATACTTGAGCTTATTTTACCTTTTTTGAATTGATATTGTAGTTTATATGATGATTATTTCTTGTAGTTGAACTTCTTCATTGCTGCTGACTTAGGGCCTTACTGTAGTTAGTATGTTCATGCACACGGTATTTCCCTTATTTTTTTTGTTTCCTTTTTCTTAAACTTTTTGCCATAATTACAGTAAATGATTTCTTTAACTGCACGCTGAGAGGGCGGAAGTGCTGTGCCAGCAGCCTTTTTTCATTCTTTGCTGCTGCTACTATTCTTTTGCTGGCTCCCGAGGGTAATAAGATCTATGCACTCTACTAATTTTCTTGCATACTTAGCTGCAATTGCAACCTTTAGTAATTATTATTTAATTAACTCCAAAGTATTGCATGAATAATGCAAAATTTAAAAAGTATAAAAAAGAAAAAAGGTCAAAACAAGGTATTTTTTTATATTTCAAATCTGTAAGCATTATTTCTTGGAATTTTTGTGTAAGGCATTAATAGGACAGTGACATTAAACGGTCTGCATAATTGTAGAAGTATCAGAGGTATGTAGTAAAAGAGTTTGGCATTTAGCTGGGGATCAAATTTGTTTTCATAATTTGTAGTGAGAACTTCTTAGACCCTTCAATAAGACCCTTTTCTAATATTTAAATTTTAATTCTGCTTTACCTTTTCTAGGTGTTTTCTTTTCAATTAGCAGAAGTTGACTAAATGTTATTTTTTTTGATAAACACATTGACTAATTCTGGCAGAAAAAATGTTTGTATATCTTTAGATATCTACCTATAGATCAGTAGGTCTGCTCTGTGAATGTAAAAATGAGCAGTAAATTTACGTGGCCGTATATTTGTATGAAGACAACATAAAGACTAGCTTTTAATAAATAAAAGTTTCTGGGTTTGCTTTTGTAGTGGATGGCTGTATACACAGAGCTGCTGGGCCCTGCTTAGTTGCTGAATGTCGCAACCTGAGTGGCTGTGAGACTGGACAAGCAAAAATTACGTGTGGATATGACCTACCTGCAAAATGTAAGTCAGCCCTTTCTCAGCGTTTTCTTTTTGTTTTAAGCACGTGGAGCTGGTATGCACGCTTTATTTCCCTGTAGTCTAATTCAACAAGGTATTCATTTTACAAAATTAGCAGTGGGACTTAATTAAGCATGTTCTGTAATAATGTCTTCCCCTCAAAGCAATTCAGGCTTTTCTGAACGATTATTTCACCTATGTTATCCGATGAAAACCTACATGTCTCTAAAATATAAAGCATCCTTCATGTTTATTTTTTGCAAGCTAAAACATATCCTTTCATATGCATAATAAAGGATTGGAAATGCTTTATGAAGTATGAACAAAATATACATTATCATATTTATGTTCCATCGAGACAATTTTTGGAAATGTTGCATATTTCATATTCTTCATGCAGATTCCTTGATTGTGAATACTTTGAGAGCCGAGGAGATCAAAGTGATGTATTGTGTTTTCAGCTGCTACGTAGAGGCTGATAGGCAATTACTGTGAAGGCATCTGTCACACTTTAGCTTTCAGCAGAGTGCAGCTCAGTGTTGGAATATTTTTGCACGTCGGAAGTGGGATTGTCAAAATTCCCATCCTATTTAAAATAGGAAGATGGCTATTTGACCTTGTTGCGTAGATGTTGAGCTTGTCTTGGAAAAAACTAACATGTTGACAGCCCGTTGGTTGGCCAGTCTATTACGTAAGAATAAAAAGTAGGAAGTCTCTGCAAGTTAGGATCTTACAGAATAGTACATTAAGATCAGATGATACAAATACGAAGAAAGCATTACAAACAGCATGTAACTAGAATTCAAGATCTCTTTTTTTATGTGCAGTTTGCACAAGGAACATAGCTCATTCAAATGTATTTAGATCTGCTCTCTTAATTTATTCTACATTTTTTAATGTAAAATCAAATGCTGACTGCAGTAGCAGGTATCTTTTTAGGCTCCTGTGGCCCTTAATGCCTTAGGTAAAGAAGAAAATTGTGTTCCCAGTCATTTGTTGGCACCTTCTATGATGATGATGAGAGCTACCAATTATTTCTTGGACAGTGATAATTGCTATATACGGGAAAACTTTGCTATATTTTATACATACTTTTACGAAAGGTTAATTTGACTAGAGGTCAGGGAAATTGTTGAGGAAGTCTCCATGTGGTAGTTACGTTAGGTTTGTATATGGCCAAAATCTTTACCAGGTTCCTACAAAACTGATAGGATTGTTTGATAACACATTGTAATTTACTCTACTGCGGATTTTTCATGTTTAATTCTTCCCCTTCATAAAAAAATATCTTGGGAGGAACGGAAAAGCTGCTCATCCATAGGTGCATAATTCCTCCCATGTATTTTAATGAGAGAAATTAAATACAAGGTATCAAAGCAAGGAGCACTGAACTGTAGTAGAAAGAGAAAGGGTCATATCCGAGGCGTGGCCTCCCTTTAAATTTTATGGCAGTTTAATGGCTCTTGCTTAAGTTAGGTTTGCAGAATGGGATCCTGTTTGAAGAATATAGGAAAATTTTTAGGTTTGTTCTTTATGTAGGAATAATTAAAAAAAATGAGAAAACCCATTATCACTTGCAGTTGGAAATAAAACCTGTAAGCAGAGAAAGAGAAAAGTCAATATTCTGCTTAATCAATATTCTTAGAAATTGATATTGCATCAAAGACATGTCTGTTTGTATTTGATCATGCATCAACATGAGAGGGGGAAAGGATACATTAACTGACAAACAAGCACAGGGGGAAAAATGTAGTTTGCATGCAGAGGCTGAGAATTAGATACTCTTGATTTCTTAGGTTTTTTCCTTAAAACATATTTATGTTCACCAACTGTTGTTTTCTTTTACTTTTCCCTTTAGAAGCTTTTGGTTGTAGGCTCATTAAATTGTTGCACCTTTTAGACCATTCATCTGAAAAAGCAATCAAACGATCAAGATGCTGTTTTCATATTTTAAAGAGCTATAGAGCCACTGGATATCTTTTGTCACTCTGTGTCACTTTGTCATATCAGTATGACAATTTAACTGTGGAAACTCTTTTACATCTGATTTTTGTGATGAGAGCAGCAACATGACGGGAGGTCCGGACTTCCCCATCCAGATGCGCCGTGATGCAATTTTGTGTGTCAGCAATTTGTTGAAGGTTATAGGTGAATGGATGACTGCCAGCTTTCACAATAAGTTTGCTTTTCTCTCATGTGTTTGTATATAGGAGACTAACTACAATAATCCATTAACAGTTTGAGTAGTGCAATGATTATTTTGTTGTCTCTGCTCTTCTCGTGATTGTAGTTGGATGAGTAATGACAGTAAATGTGAAATGTATTTCCTGTGATGATGAATTGTTATTTTTTTGTTATTTAACAGAATTGTAAAATGTTACAATTGTATTTCCTACCCCTGGGATTTTCCCATCTCTAGTTCTCGATCCTGAAATGCTTCGCTTGGAAGCAGTTTGCTGAAATCAGCAGAGCTGCTCTGGGACGGAGCAGCCTGCATGTGTGCTGTATGAGGCAGGATTTGGGCTTAAGCTGAGGACTCCATGTTACAGAAGATTTAGCATTCAAAGATCATGCAGCATATTGCTTTGTTTTATAGACAACTTGGAAGGAAGTTGGAATTAAAGTTGGCATTTGAAGGGAAGGTATGCTTTGTTAGGAAGCTGGTAGTTGGTAAATAAAAAACACTCTGGCAATCTCCTTTATGATCTATTGTATTTTTATTGAATACTTTGCTGTGTTTACTTAGGTTAAATAAGAACAGGTCTGATAAATAATTTCTTCACAAAGGAAAAATTGAAAAATAATGTCTGACTGAAAAATGCAAAGATTTGGGGTACAGGCTAGCTTTCTGTGATTTGTTCTTGTTGCATTCGAGTCGGAGATCAGTTTGTGAAATACGCAAGTAACAGTAAATGTTCAGGGAGAGAATACATGAAATAGTTCATTTTTTTTCCTCGCCTTTTTATCCTAATAATGTGAGCAGACCAAGATTAACATGTCTATAGCCTAGAGATGTTGCTTTATGAACTTTTCAAGATACATATTTTTGAACACCAAAAAATGGTCTCTATGAAAATAGAAGTGAAATCAAATTGAGTTTTCTAATTACCGGTTAATATAACGTTCAGTACAGTTTTACAGAAGTCGGTATAATCACCATCTGCCTTCTGTGCTGCAAAAGCCTACACAAAGCCCCCCGAAATGCCAATGAAGTTATTTGCTGAATACGTAATTTGGTTGATGTCATCTATTGTTGTTTTTCAGCAAACACCTATGCAGGCACCCACGTTTTCATAGCACTTTGGAGGGCTGAAAAAGGCAGTGCTTTTTGCTCTGTGATATTTTCCTTTAATGTTCTCCCAGACCGATCATCAATTACTTAACTTCTGTACTTCATACTGTTGTTGCTTTTAAAGAAAAGTTCATTCTAAATATTGTACAATTGGTCTTCAAACATTGAGCAGTACTCTGATACCGTCATGCTTTAAATAACAGATGAACAGTATCTGTTTAAAGCTCTACAAATGCTTGTTTTCTTTCTCATTTGATTAATAGTCTTAGTTGGCTCTACTGGCAGAAAATGGTCTGAATCTAAATTGTGTTTATGGCTGGGAACAAGGGGCCATAACAGCCTCATGGCTTGTTATCTGCTTGCAGAGGTCCACCATAAAAAAAAGACCCTGTCAGAACACATTAAAACATACAGTCCCCTTCTGCAAGGTATCTGACGGGCTTAAAACCAACTGAAGACGTGGTGACAACATCCAACAAAGGTAATTGGTACCCCAGCCTTGGCAGGAAAGGACCCCCAAACTAACTTTTTTCTATTGTTAATATGTCTAGTAATGATTTCTTTCTTTTTCTGAAAAATGTTTGATAATAAAACCCCTACACCTAGGAAAATAAAATCTGACAGCCTCTAATATGGGATAGAGCCAACCATTGGTAAATTAAATCTGAAAGGTGGACTTCCAGTGGAGGGACCTTGCTGGAAAGGCTAGGCAGTTTCTAATACATTGGTTTATGTCATTAATAAAGCTATAATATTTTGAATAAATTTTTCTGTTTGCTTGATATTTTCAGTACTTGAAGCAATGTCCTGTAGGAAATACCATATATAGCATAGTCTTCTGGTCCAAAGTCACTGTGTAGATCAATCTGGAGTAATAATGTGAACGTGCTCTCAAAGACAAGTCCTGCTGTGAAATAAGTAGTTGGAGGAGTGCTAGTATTAAACACAGTAGGAGGAATCAGCCTTTAGATTTGTTTAATCAGATTAAAAAGTGGAGATTAAAAAGTAGAGATTAAAAAGTGTGCTTTTATTATATAGACATAATTTTCTGTATTTAAAAGATGAATATTTGGAGGGTATTATTTTAAAGTAAGGCTGTAAGGGTAGTGATCTTAAATCTCTCCATATTTTATTGGAGATTGCTTACAGAGCTGTAATTAAAAGGTTGATTATGCAGAAACGGAACTCCAAAACTCTACTCCAGAAGTGATCAATTGGAAAAATGGGGCATAATATTCAAGCATATTATCCAAATTTCCAGGATTCCACAAAGAACTTTGATGACTTACTTTTAAAACCTTAGTTGATATAATAATACATAAATTTTGTTTCAAATAATTCTAAATTTCTGATATGTGAGAGTCAGAGAGATAGTTCCTTCTGCGTGATTCTGATGTGCAGGAGAACGTTATCTTTGCATGATTGTTCAATTTGCTACATCCCTATTTGTTCTGCGAAGAGGTAAGTCTGGGAATTGGAAAATAAGTCTGGGAATTAAAAAGGAAGGCATTAAAAGTGAGCAATGCGTGGACAAGAGAGGAATGCTTAGAGAAGACTAATTTGGACTCCCAGTTGGTCAAGCTCCTTGATCTTCTCCCACAATTGCTTTTAAACATTTAAGTGAAAACAGCTGTGCCACCAGATGCATAACTAGACCAAAGTTTGATGAAAGTTCGGTTGAAAAAGGCTCCCGATAAGCATAGGGTGACAC